CGTCATCTGATTGCTAAGGAACGAGTAGAGAGGAAATCGGTTCTAAGGAGAGAGGATTTAGAAATTTCTTGAGTTATTTTCACCAACAAAGAAATTTTAACCAATGTTTTTAAGTAGCAATAAAAAATAAATCGATTTCATTAACTGTTATTTGTTTGTGATCATTTTAATAAATATCTTTTAAGGTTAGAGTTATGTGATCGTATGAAAAATGTTGACTGAAAATTAGTATTGTTCTCTCTTAGAAGGACAATACGCCTTTCCCCTGTAAATATTTGTAATCTTGATTAACTACGCATTATTTTGTTTACCTAATGAGTACGACAAACTCCACTGGCTTTATTTAGCACCAGTGACGCGGTTGAGAGAGTAGGGCAGAGATCTCTCGGAGACCTACTTTTACTTCTGTAGTAGGAGGAAGAAGCCTGGCTTGGGTTTCCCTGCCTAATTGTATATAGGTATGAATGTGTAATAATGTTTTTAATTTACTTATCTTTAGATTATTTTTTATTGTAAATAGTTTTTGATTATTATTTAATAGTTTTGCCCAAAATCGGTCTTGGTCTTGAACTAAGACAAAGGCCGCCTAACTGTTGCAAGACCCAGGCCTGGACTGGTAAAAAAAGAAATCGATTTTTTAAATAAAAATTAAGGCAAAATAGTTTCTAATACTTGACAATCTTAGTTAGTATGTGATGATAATTGGTATAACCAATATACTTTTGCATTTAACTCTTCTAATTATTCATTTGGGTTTAGTTAGGTTTCTCCTATCTAAAAAACTACAGAAATATCTCTATAGCAATAAGCTAATAAGTAACTACGAGACTGTTGCGAGACTCGTACGCAAGACCAAGACTCGTCTTGGACTCGTATTTGGGCAACGCTATAATTTATTTATTATTTTAATTTTATTAATTTTATATTTGCTGTATATATGGTGTGAACGTGTTCATATATCACTGTAATTATTGCCCACGTGACAGATTATAATATTTCTAAATAAATAAATACAAAAAAAAAGTGGTGAAAAAATATATTTATATAAGTTGCCATGATTCAAACGATAATGAAGATGAATTTGAAACAATTGTTTAGAGAAGAGTATGATGCTAGATCTGCTGTGAAGTTTTATCAGGATCGCGGCATCATTGAGAATAGCGAAATTTGTGAATTCGGCCACACTATGTCAATTAAATACACTGAAAACCGAGATCCACGTTGGAGGTATTCGAGAAATATATGTTAGTGCGAATGCATTATAAGAAAAAGTAATTGGTTGGAGGGGTATACGTCTGGAACTGTATGAAAAAAAGTACGATGATAAGCGGAGAAGGATTTATTGTAGAAATAGACAAATGCTTCTTAGTCAAAAGAAAACGTAATGTTGCTAGAATGGTAAAGAAGCCGTGGGGGTTCGGAGCAATCTGTGCCAATCAAATGAATATTTCCTTCGAACAATTGAAGACTGATCTGCTGCAACTCTACTACTAATAATTTGTGAGTAATGAAATCCCTGTTCGATTATTATAAGTGATAGTTAGAAGACGTAGAATAGTAGATTAAAGATACCAACATCTTTGTGTAAATGACAAACATAATTTTTTGGAGCTTGAAACTTCTGTCAATACTCAGAAAGCATGCAGAACGCAGGGCTCTGCTAAATGATGGAAAAATAAGAAAATTCGTGGAACCCAAAGAACTTTGATAGATTCGTATTTAAAAAAAAAATTATGTGACACCAAAACATTATAGGGACGGATCCATTTATATCAATTATAAAAGATATTCATCATTTTTACAATGATTGTCTTCTTGTTAATAAATAATTGTTTTCACCATTTGTTTTTAATTCTAATTTTAAATTATTATAATCATGGTATAGAATCAATACAGCCTAATTATCTCTATTAAAATTTCATGAAATACAAGGGCAAGTTTCACGTCGAAGGGTAAAAGTGATATGTAGTGATTCGTCTTGGTTGAGTTGAATTATCCAGTGTTTGCACCAGTCGTAGAATTTATTTAAGTGATATTGTAGAGTTTGTTAGGCGTATATTGAATGTTGATGTTTTTTCAAAATTATTGTATCGTCTGTGTAAGTCGCGGTCAGGGTATCGACAGCGTCTGGAATATCATATGTGTAAATGATATACAACAGAGGAGCGAGTACTGATCCCTAAGGCACTCCTGCTAAGAGGCTGGTTTAATAGTAGAAAGTTATCTATCTTGGCGAACAGAGAAAAACCTGTAAGAAAGAAAAGATTGAAGAATAAGATAGTAGTTAAGTTGGATAGGTAAATAGTAGTAGGTTGGAGGGAGTATCGTCTTAAGTTTAAAAAGAACTCCCTGATGCCAGACTCTATCGAAAAGTTGAGTTTTCAGTTTTAAGGAAAATATAGTCGTTTTGAGTACTGCGTTATAACTTGATTTTAGGTACACTACTGCTTTCCTTGCTATTTTCTGGAGCACTTGAGCACTTATTACTTAATGGTCGGGAGCTTTCTTCGTAGGTGGATGTCTAGTTTAGTCTGCAACCTGAGTGGGAGTGAAGAAAGATGGAGGTAATGCCAGTTGTAAAACAATGACCTTATGGCTTATATACTGTGGTGTAAAACAGGAGAAAGATTGTTGGCAAAGAGCTCAGATTTTTCAAGGTCTGCCAGAGCCCAGCAGCCATCTACGATTCGGAGAGGTGCTGAAACCTCATGAGACCTTCCATCGTCAGTCGAAAGATTTTTGAGATAATTTTCTTATTTCGGTTTTTAAAATTCTGAATCTGTCGTTGAATTTCATTGTTAAGTCAATTGAAAGTCCGTTTGTAAATGGAAGTCGACCAGTCTGCCACACTTTGCGCGCTCTTCTCTTTTCCGTGATTAGATCTCTATGTATTGCGGATAGTTTGGAAGAAATCTATTGGCCTTGGTATAGATGATGACCATACAGCCTGTTGTAGGCTGATTGTAAACTTTTCAACGACTTCTTCGAGTTCAACTTTTGTGTTAAGAGAAATTGGGATTGAAAGGGTTAGAAGAGATGGTGTCTTTTATGCAGTGCAAGGATCCTCACAAAGTACCAAACTAAGAAGAGAATGATCAGAACAATGATCAGAGCTCACAGTTATAGCATACAGTACTGCCTTGAGTCCTTTAATAACGATAAAGTCAAGTAGATATGGTGTTTTCTGTCTTGAAGTTGGCCAATAAGTAGGTGTATCAGGTGAGGTCGTATCAAATGAAAGCTGATCGATGGCAGTACACTAGGACTACACAGTCGTGCTCCCCAGGACTGGTGTTTGGCATTATAATCACCACCTGTAATAAAACACCGCCCAAGGGTAAAAAGAGGCTGAATGAGCTTATTCAACCCACTAAGTTGAAGAGCTGAGCGGGCGTCGGGTGATTGTAAGTCGGTGGTGGCGGCTGGGAAATGCCATTATTTATTTCTGGATGCTTTGGCTAGTGGTGGTGATTTCCTGGCACTTTTGCAGAAGCAGTTCTCATTTTTGGTCCAAGATTTTGGGAATCGGGTTTTAATGGACATGATTGGGTTTTCTGAATTTACGTAAGAGTAGGAATCTCTTCTGTGCCTGAAAGTCCGCTGGTTTAAGTATTTCGAGGACCTTGCAATTTTTTACGGACGTTGCGTACTTCCTTCATTTGTTTTAGTTTTCACAACCTCTATAATTTGCTGGATGGGATCCGCTACAATTAGCAAATGTTGCAGCACTCTCTCTTGTTTTTGTGGAGACGGTGCTATAATCTCCTTCGTCACATCTTATGCACTTCGAGGAGTAATTGCAGTAATTCTTTGTGTGGCTATACTGCTGACAACGAGTGCACTGTGGAATCGTTCTTTTCATTCTGGGTTCCTCTACATTCACTCTAGTATAATATAAGAATTCCATATTAAATATTTTGTCATTGTGGCTTTCGAAATATTGATAAAAAACATGGAAAGTAGATTTTTAAATCTTGAAATAACGTTCACAATACTTGTGACCTAGTAGCCTATATATTTCAATCCGTACATCATAGTTACATCTGGAGTAGCATGATTTTTACTGATTTCGATCTTCTAGTAAATGATAGGTATGAAAACGGGCACCTACCTGTCTTAAGTTAGCTACCATTCGTCTATATGTGTCAGGGTTTTCAGAAAAAAACGCTTACACCTCTTCATGTGGATTTTAGGTTAAAGCTGTTCAAAACGCGTGCATTTTGGAGGAATGTGACCAGTTCAGTGTAGTTCTGATCATCATTCCGGTGGATATGGGGCAATTTTACAGAAACTGGTTGTTTAGTGGTTGCTTCAGACTTGTGACGAATGTAAGTTGAAACTATTTTGTGACTTCTCTTATCTTTTTAGACTTTCTTGGATCTCTGTTATTGTCCATTGAGCGTTTTCATCCAGTAACGAGTTTCGAAGAATTTTCAGTAGTTTAGCTTGAGTTTAAAATGTCCATATTGTCTGTAGAACTGCTAGACCTATGTTACCGCTACACCGAGTTTTGGAGTTCCAATTTCTTGATGATATTTGGTTGCTGTACAGAATGCGACAAAAATCAAAGTGTTCACTGTTGCTTTACCCCAAGAGCTTATAAATTAGATGGTAAACATTGATAAAAGCTAATTTTGATTTAATGAGGGTAGTTTTTTCATTGAATTTTAAAATTTAGAAAATATATGTTGCACACACATATGCATGTTATTTTCTCATTATTGGCGTATTCATGTCATTTCGTACCATTGGAAAAAAAACCTATGTCATAGAAACTGATGATTCCTATTTAAATAATTAATGTATATGCTATGCTGATTCATTATTGCAATTCACTCAAATTTTTATGTCTTGGATATCTATCATTTTTGTTTCAATTATAAATAATTATTTAATCAGTTTAATTTTCTTTGCAAAGGTCAGATGAAGATAGCATACTAAGTTCGTGACAAGAGAATATTTTAAAAACTAATATTACAAGTTAAGCAACGTTAGGAAACATGAATGGAGGAGGGAACGTACAAATTCGGCCATCGAAGGTAGTTTTTCTCAATGTTCTTTTTAATATATTTAAAATTAATTTATGCGTAATATATGAAAGATTTATAGGCCCAAAAATAGTTGTTTTACTATAATTATGAATAAAAAATGAAACAAAATATATAAATATTTATATTTTAATTAGTGTTTATTAGTTGCGAAATTGCATAAGAAAGGGCGATCAAATCCATACCAAGTTATTTTTATTATTTATGAAAAAAATGTTCAAAGATTCACAAAAACGCTTGAACCTTTTCAAGTCTCGTTGAATCAATTTAATAACTACAGAGATATTTTGATAATCTACTTTCAGTAATTTTCATTTCGGACCTTGGTCTAGTATTCAAATTAAAGAAATAGGAATGTTTTCATTCGATTTTTTTTATTTAATAAAATTTTCTCATAGTAACGAATTCTATAGAAATATGTTTGCTTCCTCACTACCGAAGGTAAGCAAGCATTGTATTCGTGCGAGAGGTAAAAAAAAAAAAAAAAAAGGTGCTCAGAATAGAAAAGTTGTACCCGCGTTTTACGTTTCAGACATAAAGGATCAAATTTGGTTGGGTGTCTTTCTGTCTGTCTGTAGTCAAATCGATGTGACGGGCATATCACCTAGTATTGCTCATTCAATTTTCATGAAATTCTTAGGGATTGTGCGGTGCGGATTGGTGCTTTGATGGTCCCATATAAAATTTATCAAATTTCATTTAGCAGTTGTGCTTACGCATATCTTTTTAGATATGTCAATATTTCAGTAACACCTCTATCGATTTGGCTTAAAGTTGGATAAAAGGTAGGCATTAGTGAAAAAATGTTGTAGTATAAATTTTATCTAATTTCCTCTACAACTTTCTTTTTATATGTACAAGCGTGTTTTCCTTGATACGTCAATATCTCTAAAACCGCCCGTTCGGTTTGGCTCAAATATAGAGGAAAGTTAGGCTTCTTCGATTTGACCTAAACTTGGAGGAAACGAGGATAATAGTTCAGAAATTGCCTAATACCAATTTCACTTAATTCCATTTAATAATTTGAACTAATAGAAATAACCGTTAATAATATGATGGTTGTGAAATATGGAAGGCATATATCTCACATAGAATATTTTTATGACGTTATAACATTTTATGTTGTACTGTATTGTTTGGTCGATTCCAAACGTTACTGATATGACACTTACTGCCATAATTACTCTTTTTCTTTTATCTCTGTTCTAGTTATCATTTGTATGTATATATTGTGTGAATATTTAATGTACCCCTAATATTAATGCTCTCCAATGGGGCAGAATGTATTAATTTAAAAAAAAAAAAGAAGAAAAAAAAAAGGAAACTGCCGTTATTTAGAATTCGTATAATTTTCTGTAAATTTAAATTTTTACTCTGAGTTTGTACAAAGAAAGTGTTATTTGTGATTTTATTTATTTCTATTGAAGTTCAACCAACTCGTCGTGGTATCGATTTTCTAATTTAATTCTAATAATTTTCTAATAAAATAAGTTGTGTGAACTTCACTCATATCAATTAAAAATGAAGTTTAATTTTTTCTGACTGAAGACAAATATTAGTATCGATAACTCTGAACAAACATAAAGTTGAATTTTTCGTTCTATACATTTTACCAGTGAAAACATACCTATAAGCATACATTGCTACTGTTAGTGTAACAGATCGTATGTAACAATATTTCATTTTTATTGTATTGGTGCTAAAGTTGACATTTCGTTGTAAGTAACTGATATAGGTAGTCTGGTACAATGAAAAATATCACTGGGCAATAACATATGAAATAACAGTAATAAATCATAAAGAAATTATTAGTTTTTTTGATCTCCTATAAAACGATCAATTCTCACATACGACTTTTTGCACTAACAATTGCGATTTAAATCTTTAGATGTACTGGAATTTTTTTAATCACGATTCATCCAATACGCTATTTGAAACTTAGAATTCTTCCACATTTTACTATTCGCTGATGAATAAAATTGGTGGATATTAATCCTGCGAATGTCAATCAATTTCTGTATTTCCGAAAATGGCGCCTCCCGGAGATGTTATTCTCCTACGAAAAATTATAAACTTTGAAATACAGATATTGTTAATCCAATAAAAACAGTGAAGCTATACATACAAGCTATACACTTGGCAGAAATTTTAAATATGTGAAAGCTTATGGAATATTCTCATGATTGGACAATTTCACAAAACGTTATAAATCCGACTGTGGAGTACGACCCAAAATTTTGGTTTTTACAAGCTTTGGTATAATAAATAGAACATGTACGATATCTGTCGGAAAATTGACTGGTGAGGGATACATACATTTAGATGTATACTGAAGACACTGTCCCATACCTATGGAAAAAAATTACTGTAACAAACAGATTTGAAATCAAAACTTAAAATAGCAAAAGAAAAACAAATAATATAAGGTCTAGTTTTTCTATGCGAAAAAAAAAATAGTTCAAATTACATATGGTCATATTTTTTTACAGATATACAAACTGTACACGGCATTATGGTGCGAAGCGTGTTACAAAGAACTGAAGGAATTATTAGATAAAAACGCAGGTGTTTAATACATATTATTAAATTTGTATTATAATTTTATTATTTATTCCTATCAATAAATGTTTCCTATAAAATTTGTAATTTACCATTCTTGATAAATACAAACTCCTAGTATTAAAATTACATTCACTTTTGTGGTTTTAGTAAAAAATGGTACGAGTTTTTTTAAACAATTTTCTGATTGTAATTGTTTTTCTTAGTTTGTAGAGATTGTCTACCATTTTATAAAAAAAAGAAAAAAAAAAAAGAACTTATTCCTGGAATTTTAATAAAAATCCTCTTTGGTTAAATTCAAAAAATCGTACATATTGGAGTAGTTATTTATCAGTGGGAATTTTTTTCTGTTCCGAGAAATCCCCTTAATAAGAAACTGCTTGAAAAATAACGTTTTGATTTTTTTTTCTCTCTAAAAAAAGTTATGATAGAAATTGAATTAGCGCCAGGCACAGCTTTGAAAAACATACCATTCCTCATTGGAAGTAAAAATGTCAAGTTTGAGTAGCAATTATGGACCTCGATATATGTTGTTACCTTCACTGATATATTTGCCCTTTTTTTTTTTTTCTGTTGGCATTACAGATCATATAGATCTTTTGCAGCCTTAACAAGCCTGCTCCATCTCTGCCTCGCTTGGGCTATTTCTTTCCATTTATCTGCACGCAGCTGCTTTTTGGCCTTCCACGTGATCTTTTGCCTTTTATTGAGACATTCATTGTTACGTAGATAGATCTCTACGAGCTACATGTCCCGTCCATCTTATCATCCGTGCCTTCATGTCATGGGGTATTCAATTGACCAGTTTCTGTCAGCTGTTCTGATCTCAGATCGCTCCGATCATCGTGCGGAATATTTTTCTCTCAAATCTTTCAACACTTTTTTCTGGTGTGTTCCTTAGTTTCCAGGTCTCACCACCATATATTAGAACTGGCTTTATTGGATACCCTTAATTTCAGATTTCTTGAGATTTTTCGGAATTTTAATAGCTTTGAAAGAGAGAATAAAGCTTTCTAACAGATATTTAGGATAATATCTGATTATAATCTAAAAATGGTTTGTCCTTGTATATATATATATATATATATATATATATATATATATATATATATATATATATATATATATATACAAATCAATAATAAATATAATATTTACTAATCATCGTATTTTTGCTCTAGTTATACGCTGGTCTATTTCTGAACGTTGGTAATTCATTGAGGTTATTGTGGAGCCGAGGTATTTGAATGTTTCTACTCTCGGAAATGATTTTCCTTCTACACAGATTCTATTATTGTAGTAGAATTCTCGGCTTATTGTCATATATTTGTTAGGTCTTCATTTACTTGTAGGCCGATCTTTATTTTATTTTTCCACACTCCCATGCCACCAGGACAATACGGGTGTAAACAGTAGTGTGATGTTATGCATTAATGCATATTGTAGGTCGATCTGCTCCGCCTCTCTTATCATAGTTGTAGCGAATTTCTCAATGTCTTCTTGATTACTTCCAAGGACAGTTATATCATCTGCATATTCCAGGATTTTATGATTCATCACGACGTCGGCTCCTCCATTTTTCTGCGAGATTGCTCTTATTACCATCTTCAGGGCTAAGTTGATTCAAGTCGACCCTCGTATATTTATCGATTCAGCTAAAATAAAATATGTAAAAGGCAGGTATATTATCAGGAATTGAAATAATTTAATGACACAATCAATCATAGAAACAATCATTTAACGATATCAATGACAGATCTCCTTGGTTTGAATATGTCCTAAACTGTTTGAAATTTCACCTTTAGGGTGGCAAAAATCTTATTATTGTATCAATTATTTGTATGAGGATGTATATATAGCATACAGATGTTCTTCGTAACATTTCTTGACATTTTTTACTGTTCGCTTATTATTCGAATTATTCTGCTCGATTCAACTTTATGTAGTCTCCTTTGGTGTAGAAGCTTTTTCTCAAACATATGGTATTGAGTTGTACCTAATAACCTTTGTGTCGAGAGGTACCACTCCAGGAAAAATCCCTTCTGATGATACTCACATTTCATCTCCTTTTGAGCCCTCTGGAAAGAAACGGACGTGTTTCTATTTCCAGATCTTTCGACACGTGATCTTTGTAGGCCTTATGACGTGACTGCCCTCACTGCCTAATCTGAAATTGAGGTTTATAAAAAAACATTTCATAAAAATGTTTTCCGTTCAGCTGTAAGTATATCTAGATTACGCCGACGTTTTGTCATTTTATATGTCAACTCAATTTAATGTTATTGTAAATATAGAAAGCACTTTATCTTTGAAGGAAGATGGACGTTGAAATGAGGTGGAGTGGTGGGTTTTTTAAGGCGTATGGTAGAAATTGGAGGATAACTAAACATTTCTGACTTTTAATGAAAAAAAAAACTAGTCTCGTCTTCAATCCCTTTGATACCACTCTTAACTATATTAAGAGCATCCCGCTTGCCGGTATCACATTAAATAATTATCACTTGTTTACTACGAAAATACCCCATGTCCGCCTGACGGCGGAGAAACCTCCATTTTACATATTATACAACTCTTTATTTAATTGTAAAATGCGTTGCTCCAATAGTATAACTGTAATTTAAATTATTATGTAATTCAGTTTGTGTTATTTTTATCAACATAAAATAAAGAGAATGAAACTGCAGTTCGTACAAGTTTTTAATTTCTTTATAAATCTACCAGTTTTATAAATCTACCAATTTATACAACGGGCCTTATTATCAATCTATATTATTATGAATAATTAATAATTATTCGTGTTGCCAATGTGTAACCATAATAAGTTAGACATAATTGTGTGGGATTGATAATTGTTAACTGGGAATAATAAGTGAGGTGTCTTCTTTACAATCCGTCCCGCTTTGTATATATAAAATAAAATATGACGCGGTTACTAAACAATTTTTTATATAATCGATTTGTGCATTCATATAATTTTAACCATTTTCTCCATTTATCAGATCAGGAGAGACTACTAATATTGCTATCAACGTAGGCAACGATTTTAGTAAACTCCACGCTCCTATTACAAAAAGGATTTCATGCTTACAAATCGATGGTTTAGATTTGTGCCCATTTTTAAGAAATCAAATTTCGTTAGTAGAGTATATTATATATAGATAGTATAATAGTTATATTGTATTATTAATTACTACAGTCCTTAATGGACCTTGGCGTCAGAAACAAGCTTCCGCCAGGCTTCCCTATCGTCCGCTATTCTTCTCCATCTTCCGATACCCATGCGGCTGAGGTTCTCCTCCACGTCGTTGATCCACCGCAGCCGGGGTTTTCCCCTTAGACGTGCTCTTCCTGGGCGGTTATAGAGTAGACGGTTTCCTAGGGAACCTATTCTCCTCCATTTTCTCTACATCTGAGCCGGCTCCTTTTGACAGTGGCTACAATATTATCATTTTTAAACAGCTCATAGAGCACGTCACTTTCCTGTATTCGTCACTGGTCATTTATTTTCTTCGGACCGTATATTTTCCTTGGGAGTTTTCTATCCCAGATTATCAGCAACCTCTCACTTTCCTGTGTCAGAATTCATGTTTCACATCCTTAGGTAACGACTGGCCTTATAAGAAGGATAATAGTTATGAGAGATAGTATAAATCTTCTTTTTCTATGTAATCTATTGAGTTACATTTATTGATAACGATTATATCTACTAATGGCAGTACCCTACCAGGTCCTAACGGAATAATTGACTACAACATTGATTTCATCAATAAGCGCCTTTCCGTGAGTACACCGCTTACACTGGAGGAAGTGAAGCTGATGCTGCAGAAGATTGGAAGGGACTTCTCAACCGAGGATACATCTTAGGTAGTCTTGCAACAATTATCCATGCATCATGGCTTCAATAAAATAAAACTGTAAACATAAAAAATATATACATAGTTTCTCTAGTTATAATTCTACTTCTTAATGATAGTATTTTATCAATAATAAAGTCTTCACCCGCTATTCTTTGCAACGCTTAGACAAAATAATTTATTAAAATTATTTAAGTTGTCACTTAAAGAAAAAGCATCTACCACTAAAATCTGTAAAGGTATCATTACTTTCTGAGAAATAATCAGTCGGATTCAAACCCGGTATCTTGAGATTAAGAAGTGACTTTAGTGACTTACTCACTGAGTAACATTGATTCTACTTTGTGAGATAACTTTTTTTTTAATCATTATTTTTACAACTGTATTAAAGAAATACATTTAGTAAATTTGAACATATGGATATAATAATGTGAAAACACTTGTTGAGGAACTACCCAATGGTATCACTCTTACCATATTATCTTATAATATGACATTAGGAGATTACGGGGCCGTCTTTTTTTCAGACGCCTCGGAGGGTTATCAAGAGTTGAATAGGAAGCAAGGTTAGAAACTACAGGGTTAGGATGATTTTGAAGTTTATTATGGATAGGATTGGGCCAGATCTGAAACATAAGAAACATTAAGGTCATTATGGGTTGTTTTTTTTTTTAACAAAGTAGGGAGCATTGAGAATTTTACGAAGGATTTTCGAATGTAAGGATTGGATACGAGAGGAATTCGATGGTTTAGTGGAGCCCCATAGCTCAATTCCGCAAGTACAAACAGGCCTTATTATAGTGATGTATATGAGTCTTTTGTAATTAATTGGAAGTTTAGAGCGTTTGTCTAGTAAGTACTGAATTGGAAACGTGGAGCGGTTTTTTTGTTGTTTTAGTTTGGTATGATGTGACATAATTAAATATAATCTCTTTATTTATTTTTTTTTTCTCTCTCTGTTTCCAAAGTCATCGAATTAAGTGACTTTAACTCTCAGTGGCGTTGTTGAAGGAGACGTCAAAGCATACCAATTGCACTTTTTTATGACAAAAGTATTGCAAACCATCTCACATCGCAAGTACAAACTCCGAGCTTTGTTCTAATAAACCCATATTTAGTAGACCTGATTATTCTTCATAGATATTAAATGTACAAAGAACAACAGCCGAGTGGAATGCAAATAAAAACAATTCTTTGATTCTACTCTTTCGATTCCAGCATTAACTAAAAGATAAAACAAAATCAAAGAAGCGGTGGATATATTCTCATGAAACTGCAGGAAATTTCTTAATACCTTATCTCAATGTCATTTAAAGCTTATAAAAAGAGAGCGACGAGGCAGACTAACAAATTCTTGACAGTTGGACATTTAGCTGACTAAATAACGAATTGAAGAAAAAATCCCAAAAAAGTAATAAGATAAACTAATAAACGTCCTCACGACCATGGAAGGACCATAAGACATAAATGCTACTAAAATGTTGAGAAGGGTTAGTGCCTCTCCGAAAAACGATAGATCCTGGGCTCCGTTGGTTTCTGAACATTTGAGCTGTTCAACTACACCCTTTATTCTACATTCACTTCATGAGATTCTAGTATTTAACATATTAGTTAAATTGCAGTTAGAGCATTCCCCTACTTCCTTTAATTCATATCTTGTTTCACTACAATACATTTCAATTGATACTAGTATTTCTGACACAAAAAATGACCACTGTCAAGTGAGGGAATCAAAATACCCACTCTAATTTTCTCATATAATTTTTTAATTGTTTTAAAATTTAAATTTTTTTATTTGAGTTCTACCAATGGGTTGTTTCTCTTCATGTTGTACATGCCATGTTACCAATTTCACATTTACTTATTGTATGCTCTATGTAATACAGTTGTAAATTCCATTAAAATAATTTTTTTTTAAAAAATTTCTTTTCATCTTTAGTGTCTTTACTTTTACACCTGTCAACAATTTAGACAATCAGTGAATTTTCTGACGTAGGACAACAATGTCAATTGTAAGCGTAAGGGAAAGTAATTTTCTTCAAATTTTGAAATTATTATTTCTATTGAAATGAGGGGATTCCTTGTCTAGCTTATTTTAAGCTTCCTATAGTTGTTATAGTTTATATAATGAGCCACGGTGGTCGAGAGAGTTAAGGCGGCTGCAAAAATACACTCAACGTGTAGAGACTTTTTGAGGTGAGGTGGCACTCAATGTGTGGAGGTGGGGTGGCCGAGCAACTCGTGTCGTCTGCTAATTCGAGTGCGCAACACCGAGCGTTGCCTGGCAACCTGATAATCAAATTTCAACTGACGAAATAGATACGATTTCGCGTCCAGGTGCCAAGGGAAGAATTTAAATCTTGAATTAATTCCCCGCTCTCCCTCCTGGTCCGAGAAAACCCGGTATAAACTAAAAGGCGAGGAAGGTGGGGATAAAAAAAAAGTTGTTGCTGGACATGTTGGTTGTGGTCATGTCTTTAATTAGTGAAATCATATGACTATGTAATTTATTGCGATACCTTCTGTAGAGTGTTGGTATGTTGTCAGTAACTGTTAAGATGTAGTTTTCTTGTAAAATAATGTAGCTGGTGTCAGTAGAAGGTATTTTCGGTTACAGACCTAAAAACTCATCAGAAAATATTACAATTTATGAAAAACGTTGTAGTTTGCGTATATTGCAATTTGAAACATTCTATACATGCTTATGTAAGTGTTTTAAACCAGTGTATTATGCATCTTGAACTATGTTAAGGTAAATCAGCAAATTAATTCAATTATTTTAATTTTATTTCATGTTAACTTTATTTGGATACTAACTATGTAATAACATCAGTGGAGTAAACCTACAAAACATAAAAAGTACATGTACTGAAAAAAAAATTTCTTGTTCACTACCGAAGGCAGAGAAGCATTGTATTCGTGCGAGAAAATAAAAAAAAAATTGTTCTCAGAATGGGAAATTTCCACTCGCGTTATACGTTTCAGACATCAAGGGTCAAATTTTGTTCTGCGTCTGTCCGTCTGTAAGTGTGTCTGTAGTCAAGTTTATGTGACGGGTATATCACCTACTACCGTTTATCCAATTTTCATGAAATTTTTAGAGATTCTGCGGGTTGATTAATTGTTAGGCATATAAATAAAAGGACTATTCACTCCTGTCTAACAAAACAATTTATTTCCATAACTGTAATAAATTGACTTTACCAAAGTGTTTTAACAATAGGCTTGATATTCTTAATCTTCAGTGTAGTAGACTTCTCTTCTCAGGTAACGTCGTTCCGCCATCGTGGCCCTGCCTCAAATCCCCTCTTTTCTCTCCACCATCCTTCTTCATCTGCTGCTACCTGCTCCGTCCTTTTTCAAGCTTCTCATTTCTTCGTCGATTGCTTATCGATAAGAGACTTTTAAGGTTTTATTCAAAAACTCAATTTATACCTTATTGTTTGGTTGATTCCAAACGCTACTGGCCTGACACTTGCTACCGTTTACTTATATTTCGTGCATTTTTCTGTAAATTTAAATTAATTTTTACTCTGAATTTGTAAAAATAAAAAAGTCTTATATGTGATTGTAATATATTGAATATACTTCAAGACCAGACCATATCCCTCCACTAATTCCATTACCAGAACGATTTAAATCAAATATTATTAAGTTGTATGGGTAATATTAAATAAAAACTATCAATAGCTATAATATGCATATGAATGAACGTAAATATTAATCTTTTAATTTAGTACAATAGGACTTATGATCATATGTAAGTAATCGAATTTCAGTAGTGAACGGTTTAGTGTTTTGTAATTTATGTAGAAAATAAAATATTTCTAATTTTAAATTTATTTAGGCTATAATAATATCTAGCCATCAACAGTGTGAAATTGCTCAAATAAGATAAAAACCAATTGATATAATATATTTCATGTTTCAATTCCGAAGAAACATAAATACGCCAAAGACCCTCTTATTCCAACAAGAATATACGAAAAGCGCATTTGGTCCTGAAAGATTTGACTCAGCAAGAAAAAAAATGATGAAGGGCTGCCTTTGTTATGATTGGTATTTCTAAACCTGCACCATCTTATATCCTGATCATCTTTGGGGCGACTTATATAAATAAATAAATAAATATTTATATAAATATATATATATATATATATATATATATATAATATGTATAATATATAATATATGTACCAATATATTACATTTTTATTATTAATATTGACCGTTATAAGATAGTAAATGGTTTTGTAATAATATCATACTGACATTTACTATCTTTAAGCGGTCAATATTATTAATAAAAATGTAATATATTGGTATAAATATAACCTTTTTATAAAAAAAAAATATTAATTTACTTTTTTTTTTTTTTATTCTTTGGTTGTAATATTATTTAATTCGAACTTATTTATCTTTACATTTACGGTCAGCTATTCCAATCAAATTAATAATATATTTCAATGACGATAAATATATAGCCAACGTAACATCTCTCAGTAACAAGGAAACTATTGAAAAAATATATATATAGTACTGTACCATATATTTCTGCAACAAAAAAAAAAAAAAAAAAAAGGAACAAAAAAGAAAAAAGAATTATTACCTAAGGAATTGCAGGGTTCTGTTTTATTCAACTTTAATACTATAATGAAACGTATTAGAAAAATCTACGAAATTCAATTCCAAGCAACATGTACGTTTTTTGAAAATGTCAGCGATATTTGTGACAGGAATAAGTCCTGGAAATGGGAAAAGTGAAAACATAATAATAGTAATCTTCTAAACGACAGAGCTAAAACTTCCTCAAAAAGCTTGAACAAATTCTTAAAAGTATTAGAAATATGTATTCAGATGGCTTTTTTTTTTCTTTAACTATTTGTAAAACATTTTAGTATTTAGAAAAAAAATAAGTATACTAAATAGAGTTTTTTTCTAATTAGATTTTTATATTTCATGTTTCTTGAAAAGTAAAGCTACCAATTTCGAGGAACTTTAACTAATGCT